AGACAGCTGCTCTCTCCTGGTCCTTCCTGACTCATTCTAGTTCTGTGTTCTGCTCGGGTCCTCGTCACTACTGGTAGCATGAGGCGCTACCTGCAGCACCATCAGGGTGCACAGGTAGTCCAGCTCCTCCAGGAGGACTCATCCATACCTGTGGTCACATGAAGGTTTGTGTCTCCAGCACAGTCTCCAGAGTGTGGAGGAGACACCAGGAGACGTTACACAGGAAACGTTAGGAGTGGATGAAATTCACACGTTGGATCAAGTTGTGACGTCATTTTGTTCTCAACAAATTATACAATGTTCATCAGTACAGATTGTCAACTTGAATAATTCATTCATTAAGATATGATGTGTGAGTTAAGTGTTCCCTTCATTTCTTTGAGGCGTGTGTGCATGTGCGTGCGTGTGTGCGTGTGTGCGTGTGTGAAAACCTCGGCTCCTCAAATAAACGACTGACGGAGGTTTATACATTGAGCCTCTGTGGGTCTGTACCATGTGGACAGATGTTCTGATTCTCTACAGCTGCTCTGTTCTTAACTTTTACTCTGTCTGTCAGTCGGCGGAAGTCAAGGAGTAAGAGTCCCCTCAAGAAGGACAAGAGTCCGATCAGGTGAGATGAAGCTTTATTGATCCCTCAGAGGACACACTTTGATATTGTGATGATGATGATGTCATTGTTGATGATGATGTCATGACGTGCAGGCAGCCCATTGATAACCTGACTCCAGAGGAGCGAGATGCTCGGACAGTGTTCTGTATGCAGTTGGCTGCGAGAATCAGACCTCGTGACCTGGAGGACTTCTTCTCTGCTGTGGGCAAGGTACACACACAATATCAGCAACTTGTAATAGAGTAACTGTACCAGCTGAGGATGGTAGGTGGTTTCCGTGGTAACAGTTGTTATGGTGGCCCTCCCAGGTGCGGGATGTGAGGATGATCTCAGACAGGAACTCCCGCAGGTCAAAGGGCATCGCCTACATTGAGTTTGTGGAAACAAACTCAGTTCCTCTGGCCATCGGACTGACGGGGCAAAGGCTGCTGGGAGTTCCAATTATCGTACAGGCCTCACAGGTACATCAACAAGTACCAGTAACTCTACTTCTACCTGTACCTCTTCATTACCTCCACGTCGAGGTTTTCAAACCTGTTCGTCTTGTTGTTTGTTAGTTAGCAGCATTATGTAAAAACAGATTTCCAGTAAACTTGGTGGAGCGATGTTTGAGTCAAAGAAGAACTTGGTATGTCTTGGTGTCGACAGGGATCGGGGGGGATCAAGGAATTTTATATCACTTTCTGTAAAATAGTGAGACAGAACCTTTTTATGGTTTGTCTTGAATTTCTTTATAAATTGGTACAAGCGTTCAGTCGATCCTGAAGCAGTGGTGTTGATAATTTTGCGGCTGCAGGTCGTAATTGCAAAATGTACATAGCGCAAACCCTTATTGTGGTGATGTTGTGTTGATATTGTGATGTTGTGTTACCAGGCGGAGAAGAACCGAGCAGCAGCAGCCGCAGCAGCTGCAGCAGCCGCGGCTAACAACCTGCAGAAAGGTTCCTCAGGACCGATGAGACTTTACGTCGGTTCACTGCATTTCAACATCACAGAGGAGATGCTGAGAGGAATCTTTGAACCATTTGGACGAGTCAGTAACACACACATGAAACACACTCACCTTCACAAGTCAATAAGCAAATGTACATTGTTGCTTATGTACACTTGTACTACTAGTGAAGCTACCAGGACCTGAATGACTGACAATCTTCAGAGATAACACACACACACACACACACACACACACA